CATAACAGATGGTCTCAATTTTGCCCCTCTTTCGCTGTGCAATCCTTGACCAGTTATAACAGAAATAGATTGAGGAATTGTTTGCTGTGGACTTTGCATTGCTTGTTTCCAATTACGAATGAATTTATCAAGAAGAGGTATTGCTTCCTGTACATACAATCCATGCAAATCAAGAACATGTGCAGATAAGGAATCATTCCTGCAAAAAATTAAAAGAAACATTTGAATCAAAAATAAATAAACGCTTAAGTAAGCATTATTGATATAAATACTTTTGTATTAAGTAAAATATGACAAAATTTACAATTAAATTATGTTAGGAAACAACAAGGTTAAAAATTCTTACCTCTGTTCAGAAATTAATTTGGAAGCCATTTTATTTATCTCTTTGAATTTTTGTTGATGTTCACTACCCTAAAATATTTAAAAAAATTAATAATAATACAAAATATCCTAGAATCTATAGTTTAATCATGATTATCAGAAAATAAATTTTATAATCAAACAAATTTCTTGCATTTAAAGCAAAAAAAAAAAGGTTACAAATTTACAACATTAATAAAAGTTAAAGACATATAAAAGCAAAATTTTAAACTTTATAATTCAAAATAAAATTTCAAAAAATCCAGAAAGAGTGTTTAATATCGAGCAGTTTGAAATGCATGTTTAAGAAAATGGACGCAGATCAAAATGCGTGCTTACGTAAATGGACACAGCTAGTTAAGAAAATGAAAAAATAATTTGATTCTGCTTTTCAAACTTTTTTTAAAGAATAAACTAATGATTAAAAAAAATTCATAATCATAAAATCTTATCATCCACTTGCATAAATCACTTGTTGCGTTTTATAAAATTAGTGCTTTTTTCTTTTTAAAGACTTTAAAAGTCCACAGTTGGTACAAGGTTATAAATTTATAATAGTGGTAGTTAATTTATGTTGTAGCAGTGTCGAGTTTTAACTCGCTATATCATTATCTAAATATAATGGCATCGTCTGAAAAGTTACATCTCTAATGTAACCTATCCACCAAAAAAGAAACAAACAGGAATATTAAGCAAAACATTAAAAATCAAGGCAAATAAGGACAGAATATTTTGTATCAGGAAAATCAGGAGAACTACAAATCCTGCATAAAGTACATTAATGTATTATTTTATTAATTAAATGCGTTAAAGATGTTTGGGCACTTCATTTGGACATTTATTTTGTAGATCGACATACTCAACAAGGCACATATGAAGTTTTAAATTTTCTCTTCGTCTTCATAAATAATAAGAATTAGTGAAATAGTTCCTACCCTTTGAGAATAAAAAGAAGCAACTTCCGACATTCCTCTATGAAAAGCATCTTTTGCTTTTTGTATGAAGTACTGACGTTGATTGAAATGATCTGTGGCAAGTTGCCTCAGTTCTAGA